TTTTTGTCTTTTTGAGACAAGGTCTCCTTGTAGCCCCAGCTGTCTTAGAGCTCACTATGTAGACCAGGCTGTCCTAGAACTCACTAAGATCTACTTGCCTCTGCCTCCCAAGTGCTGGTATTAAAGGTGTGCGCCACCACACCCAGCGATATTTACAGCTTTTGAGAGGCAAATGCTAATTAGTTTGATTTAAATATAAAGATATAGAATAATCGTATCATCAAACATAAAAGATGCCCAATATAATTAGCCACTGTGGAAATGCAAATCAAACCACAATGAAAACTCACTAAGAAATCTGACATAAAAAAGACCGATTAACTAGTATGAAGGTAGAAAATCAGAACCTTGTCCAACATACTGTTTCACGAGAATGTGAACTGGTACAAAAATCCGGGTAACACGTCAAAATTGCCGTATGACCCATCCACTCGACCCATTTAGAAAGAAAGAAAGAAAGAAAGGAAGGAAGGAAGGAGAAAGAAAAGAAAGAAAAGAAAGAAAAGAAAGAAAGAAAGAAAGAAAGAAAGAAAGAAAGAAAGAAAGAAAGAAAGAAAGAAAGAAAGAAAGAGAAAGAAGGGAGGGAGGGAGGGAGGGAGAAAAAGCAACAGATGGATAGAAACACAGAATGTAGAATACTCATATGATGGAATATTTGGCCACAAAAAGGAATAAAGCTCTGATATGAATAAACCCTGAAAACATGCTAAGTGAAAAAAAGCCAGTGATAAACCATGAATTTTAATTTTATTTAGATGAAAAGTTGAAAACAAAGCCAAGAAAAGGTAAGTGGTTGCCTAGGGCTCAGAGTTTGTAGGGAAGGAAGGAATGAAGATTAAAAGGTATAGGAGGTTTTATTGGGGGGGGTATAAAAATATCTTAATGATTATGGTCATATAGCTCTATAAATACACTAAAAACCACTTTAAATTGTGCTTTAGCATAGTATGTTAAGTTCCAGTTCAATAAATCTGGTATTTTTAAAATGTCAAGCAAATAGAGGATTTCATGAAATTTCATGGAATGTAGTCATCTAGAAAATAAAATAAGCCAGGCATCGTGGCGCACACCTATAGTCCCAACACTCAGGAGGCAGGCAGATCTCTTGAGCTCAAGGCCAGCCTGATCTACATAGTGAGTTTCAGGCCAACTTGGGCTACAGGGAGACCCTGTCTCAAAAAGACAGATGGGAGGGGAGGGACGGAAGGAGGGAAGGAAGGAAAAGAACTTGTAGTAAACTGAAAAAATTTATCTATAATCTAGCACTTGGGAGGTAGAGGCAGGAGGATGAGGGGTTTAAGGCCAGTCTTGACTAGATGGGAACCTATCTCAAAAACCAAAAGTAATCATAAAAACATAAATCAATTTTAAAAAAAGATGTATTACAAACAGCTAAGAATACCTAAGGATACAACTCACTGTTAAAAGTACTTGCCTGGGTCTGTAACTCCAGTTCGAGGGGAAATGACCTCCACAGACATTGCATGGCATGGGTGCACTTACACACATGCGGGCAATAACTCATACACATAAAATAAAAATAAATAAATAAATAAAAAAGTACTTTCCTGGCAAGCATGAGGTACTAGCTCTGATTCCCATACTATAAAACAAACATAGCTAAGAATAATAGGGAAAACCAGGCATGGTGGCAAACACCTATAATCCCAGCACTAAAGAGGCTGCTGAGGCAAAAGGATGGAAGACATCCAGGCCAGTATGAGCTACATAGGTAAGAAGAACTGGTCTCAAAACAAGGAACAGCAATATTTTGTTCAAATCTTCACCTACAATGATCTGAAATGCTAATAACTGGGTGATGGTTAAAAGAAGTGCAGTGTACTTCTTCACTACCAGTCTTCAGATTTATAGCTACTAAATTATGCAATCTAGACTTAAGCTTCTAGTTTGGAGTCTGTTTCAACCCAGACACTGTTTCAACAACATATACCGGAAAGGCTGCCGTTTTTGAAATTCCTTCTCTATTATACATTAACTTCTCTGTAAGCGTGTCTTTTGCTGCTGCCTACTCTTGCATCTGGCAAAATATTACTCTACCCGACCCCAATCTATTCCTTATCTTCCCAAATATTCAAGTCATCCTTTAATCTCTTAATATTTAACATTTCTTTTATTCCATGCATTTCCTGTCAAATTTATTTCCAGTTCTTTTATTTTTGTCATTCTTCTAAATGGCACGTTTTAAAGTTTACTACATTTTCTAAACAGCTATTATTTGAAATATGCTTATGAATTTCTGCTGTTGCTCATGATACTAAATCCAAAAAGTCAGAGAACCAAAATTCTACATAACAGCCTATCAACTACTACTTTTTATTTTATTTATTATTTTTATTTTATGTGTATGAGTGTATTGCCTGCATGTAAGTGCACCTGTGTCGTGCAATGTCCACGGAGGTCAGAAGAGGGCATCAAATCCCCAGATACGGAGTTACAGACAACTGTCAGTCACCATGTGGGTGTTGGAAATTGAACCTGGGTCCTCTGCAAGAGCAGTCAGTGCTCCAAACCACTGAGCAGCCCCTCCCCGCCACTTTCTTAACAACTTTTTAAATACACAGAAGTAGCCAGGTAAAAAATGTGGCCCAGTCCTGAAACTGATTTTACATGAAGACTAACAAGTGAAATATATATTAACTTTAAAAGAGTTTATACTTGGGGCTGGAGAGATGGCTCAGCAGCTAAGAGCCTAGCTACTCTTGCAGAGGACTCATGTTCATTCGCAGCACCCACATGGCAGATAACAACCACAACCATCTGTAACTCCAGTTACAGGGGATCCAATGTCCTCTTTGGACTTTTGTGGGCACTGTATGACATGGGTGTACCCACCTACATGCAGGCATTACATTCATACACATTAAATCACTACTGAAAGTACCAGGCTATTGTGCTTTCTAGTTGGGATCCATTATCAGAGACTTACCAAGATGATTAACAGACACACAGACAGGTATGATGATGCATGTTGATAGTCCAGTATTTGGGAGGCTAAGGTAGGAAGACCATTAGAAAAAAGTCCGCTAGGAAAGGTAATACAAAACCTTTCCTGAGGTCTGAAGATATATACATACTCATTTTGCTAAAGAGAACTGTGTTTGATTTACTATGACTAAATTCAGGTGTTTTCCATCTGGTCTGCTGTATTTCCCTTTCTCTCCTCTTCCTTTAACATGTTTGTCCTTTACTATCTCATGTCTACCCTCCTTGACATCCTGGACTTTCCCTTAACTCAGGGGATTAGACTAGTCATTATATTTATTCTTGTTTATATTGTAAATAAATTCAAACAGAAAAGAACTCATTAATAACCTATGGAATGTTATCTGTAACAGAATTAATGATCCAAAGAGCAATGGAAATTAAAGGATCCAAAGAACAGTATACACTTGTAAGTTTCATTTATCTCTACCACATTACATACTATACATGTTCAATAGCAGATTCTTAAAATTCAGTAAGAATTATCTTTCCTCCATTACAAGTTGCCAATATAATCTCTAAAATTAAAGGCACTTTGTTTATAGAAAGGAAAATGGGGGGAGGGGGACCTGGAGGAATGGCTTAGCATATGGATTATGTACTGCTTTTGCACAGAACCCAAGCTTAGTTCCCAGCACCATATCACGCAGCTCACCTCTTCAGTTCCATAAGATCTGACACACTTCTAGCCTCCATGGGCACTGTTCACACACACGCACACATGCACGCACGTAAAATTAAATTTTAAAAAAGAACTTGTTTACGTAAATTAGGACTGGACCTAGACCAGATAACTCTGTAAATGTTGGTGCTTAGTGCCAGGAGCACGAGATTCCACACCGGTGCTTCAACATGGGACTCTGCCTGTAACTATTTAAAAATCCTATTCTTAGAAAGTACAAATTACTTAATAAAAGTGACTTATTGTAACCCATGCTATATTTTCTAGTCAAATGAGGAGGAGATAAAAGCTAATTATGATGGTGCATGGCTATGGCTGCAGCATCTGCAAGGAGGATCCCAAGATCTTCATGTACATTTTAAGCTACTCTGATTCAAAAGAACTGCCAGGAGTAAGAAACTCCTGAGCTTAATCAGCAAACTGGTGGTGGTAAATCAATCAATTTTTGTTGTTGTTTGGGACAGGGTCTCCCTATAACCCCAGCTTAGAACTTACCATCATATAGAGATCTGCCTCAGCCTCAGGACTGAGATTAAAGGCATGTGCCATCATGTCACCATGGTCAATCTATAAATGTACACATTGCTCCAAAAGTCTTATTAATTCTAAAGCAGAGACTCTATACACTAGGATAGTTAACTCCAAAGTACTAAATAGAGTTACCAGAAACATCTATTTAGGTTAAGTGTGTTAATGCATGCTTGTAATTCCAGTATTCAGGATACTGAAGCAGGATGATGGTAAGGTTCAAGGCCGACCTGAGCTATATAGTGAGAACCTGTCTTTGAAAATGAAAGACCCTCCCCCAACACCAACACCCACCTGACACACAACATTATTTGAAGGCCTATATTCATGTGGCACTATATAATGGCAAAATTGCTCTTAGGAAGATAAAGACTGATGAAAAAAAGTGTTTGAAAAGAGTATAAAAATAAAAATGGGAGTTATTTAAGTTAAAAAAAAATCATTCATTGAATTAACAGAGTGAAGCTTCATGAAGAATTTCAGGGAACAATTTCTTCCAAAACAAAACAAGTTTAAAACTATTCCTGTACACTAATCTAAAAATTGGTGGGGGGGAAAACCCTTATTTTTGTTACCATTATACTATTCACAATACTAGCAGCTTTGGTCAATAACTTATTTGCCAACCTGTGTTGCTTTTTTTACTATTTTATCCTGCCAAATTTCTTTTTAAGGAGTACTTGTTTACATTAATTGCTGCTTCTTCCTTTTTCACCTTCAAGTCAGCGACTGTAGTCCAGGCAGTGTAGTTTAACATGAGACCACACTACTTAAAATAACTCTCCAAGGTCATTAAGTCCTGAACTTCAAACTCACTCCTCACTTCTCTTCTCTCACATTTCAGCCTTCTTCTATTCTGGAATGTATATACTTTTCTTTGGTTTCTGTGCTGCTACATGTTCTTGCTGCTTTTATCATACCTTCGGAGTTTAATTATCAACTCCTATGGGAACAACTGCCAGATCCAAAAATGAATTAGGTGTCTCTCATGGTTTGGATCATAAATGTCCCCTTAAAGCTAACATGTTGAAGGCTTAGATTCCAATTTGTGAAATTACTATGAAGTTGTAGAATCTTTAGGAGATAAAGGCTTAGTTGGAAGTTAAAACATTTGGCATATACTCTTAAAAGAGGAAATGGATCTCTGCTCTTTTCTTGCCCACCTTCCCCCCTCCACCCCCCAAGTTGAGCAGGCTTACTATATAATGTAACACCTTGTCATGAAGTCTGGCCTCCTCACCAGGCCCTCTGCAAACAAGGTCATAAACTGAAGACCCTGAAACCATGAGCCAAAATAAATCTTTCCTCCTCAAATTGATCATGTCAGGTATTTTGTCACAGGGATAGAAAGTGAACTAGCATAGTGTTGTGGTCTAATGTGACCATCTGACTGTCAAGGTGACATGGGGTATACCTGTGAAGGCGAACGTGCATTGTCAATCTGACTAGATATTGAATTTCTTAGGACAGACTTATCTTTTAAGTGTGTCTGTAAGGGCATTTCCAGAGAGAATTAACCTGAAGTAGCTGGGACATCATCCCATGGTTTAAGAACCCAGAATGAGAGGGGGTAAAGGAAAAAGCCAGCATTCATTACTGTTTCCTAACTGTAGACACAGTGTAGCAGCCACCACCATGGCCTTCTGGTTGCAATGGACTGTAACCTCTAACCATGAGTCAAAATATGATCACCTTCCATTAAAGTTGTTTTCTGTTAGGAACACAATAAGAAATGTAACTCGGCTTGCTGCCAAGTCAGATGACCTGATTTCAATCCCTGGAACCCACATGGTTGAAGCCAAGAACTGATTCCCACAATTTGTCCTCTAACCACCACACATGGGCCCCAACAAATAAATGATAAATAAGTAAACACAAAATGGGGGGGGCTCCTAAAACTACTGTGCATACATACACAGTGTTGCTCCAACATGTTCCCACACTGTATTTGCCCCTCAAAGTACCTACTGTTCTTCTATTATACTTATCTGATGAGTTCGCCTGTAAGTTACTTGAAGACAGGAATTATGAACTTATTCTCCATTATATTTTTAAACTTTAGAATAGTTCTTGCCATGTAATAAATACTGCCAACTGCCAATGTCCAGTTGTAGTTTTCAAGTTTTTGTTGAGACTACTGGATAATACCAAGAGCACTGAAAATGTAATAGATATTTGTAAGCAGCTAGCTCAAGTGTTTAAGTTAGAGTTAAAATGTCAATGAAAGAGAAACTGGCTATAATAAATCAGAAGGAAAAATGGCAAAGAATAAGGAAGTCATATATATTCTGGCAGAAATTATTTGTATCTTAGTACTAGGCTCACAGAAATGTTAGTAAACTATAAGCATGATAAAAGTCAAAATGCAACAAGAATCTATTAAAGGTAGTCAAAATTTGAATTTGCTTTATTTTAGTAGTAGCACTGATATATACTCAAGACTGTGATGTAAGAAGAGTTTAACAACTCCCAGGATGAAGAGATCTGAGGGAAATCTAAAGTCAACTCATTTGAAAGATAAAAATTTCAATCCCAAGTGAAACTGAATGATTTACCAGACTACAAAAACACTTAAAGTGTTAGAGCCACAATCAGAATTTGAGAAATCAGAAATTTTGTTCCATACTTTACCTACTAAAGTAGTTCACTGATTATTCTTTCTAAAAGGCTATACTTAAGCGAGGCATGGAGGCACAAATCTTTAATCCCAGCAGTTGGGAAGCAGAGGCAAGATCTCTGTGAGATCAAGGACAGCCTGGTCTACATACAAAGTTCCAGGTCAGCTGGAGCTACAGGGAGACCCTATTCTCAAAAGACTTTAAAAAGGGACTACATTTAAAGGTAGGGGGACCCTTTTCTAATCAGTTATATATTTGAACAAATTATATCCATTCAAATGGACCCCTTTAGAGATTAACATTTCAAATTCTAAAATAAACGATGAAAATTCTTCAATATGTTAAAACACATAAATATTCTGGTGACAAGGATCCAATAGATAGTTAACAATTAGAAAGAACTGATTGTCTATTAAACCAGAAAAAAACAGCAAAGATGGCTATAATTATTGTAGTGTTAAGTAACTTTTTAGATATTGAGACATCTTAAAGGTTAAATTCTAAGAAACTGAACACATTTATGCCAATTATAATTTTCCTATGGTTAAAATAATATCTTCATAAGAAGAGTTTGTTTAAACCTAAAATTTATTTACTAGACATTCTAAACCATTTTAACTCAGTAATTTAACTCAATAAAAGTTTATAACATACTTTTTAAAGAGAAAACATCTATTATTTGCTTCCATTCTGATTGTCTCCATTTGCCTTGTTTAAGAATCTATGTAAGAAGAGATTTAAGATATAAGTGAAAAATCTCTTATGAAGAATCTTGAAAGAACCCTAACAAATAATATTAAATATATTTTATAATGGTTTTGAATATTTGAAAAAATAACTTAAAAGTTTTGAGTCTATTTTAATCTGGATGAAACATACTTTATTAACCTATATTATGAAATTCTCCAAATGGTGGTAAAATAAACTCAGGAAGATTTAGGCATGTAATGACAACTTGGATTATTTTAAAAACAAATAGGGAATGAGAATGGTAAGAGGAAATGAAGCTCTTCTTCCTCCTTTCCTTATTCTTAACATACTGATAAGCTAAAGTTATAGGTTACTGCTCCCAGACTTCCAGATTTTCCTTGGTTAAATAATGATTTACCCTCTGACATAGAGTCAGTGCTAGCCTTAAACTACCAGATACTCACCGAGTTAGGGTAGTTCAAGTAGCAGATCTGACAAGGCATATCCTGTGCTGATGACCTTGTATTCATCTGGCGTGTTCGAGACTTTTTACTTGGATTAATTACATGACACTCAGCAAAGAGCTTCTCCAGGTTTCCATCAAAGTACCTGCATTATTTAAACAGAAAGGATGAGAGCCCAGCAATAGCACAGTTAGAGCTCTCCAAAAACCTAACTTTCTATAGGGAAAAGCAATGAACTAAACTAAAATAAACCATGATCAAAACCATTTTGCTCAAAGGATAGGAAAGCAAGTGTGGTTAAAGGATAGCTAACAGAGGGTGTCCGTGTTGAACTCCTGCTGCTCTTTTAATTTTTTAAAAACTTTGTTTTTTAAATAGGAGTACTGGGAGTTTAGGCATTTTAATAGAACTGTTAACTAAGATTTTAGGTAAAAGATATGCTATTGCTATCTATGAAGCATAATGATATTTTTTAAAACTAGACTGCATTTTATATAAATGAAATATATTTTATTAGTAATTTTAGTTAAGGCTAGGTGCCACAGCACACATCTTTAATCCCAGCACTTGGGAGGCAGAGGCTGGTGGATCCCTGAGTTCAAGGCCAGTCTAGGCAACATAGTGAGACCCTGTCAAAAAAAAACAAAACAAAAAAACCCACACATGATGATTTTAGTTAAACTATTTTAAATATATTAGTTTTGGTAGCCCAGTTAGAAAGTGTACCTTGCCCACACACCATTTAAAAGACAAACTGATTATATGTCTCACTGTATTCAATAGACTTGCTTTCTACATATTCTTCTGAATTACTTTTTTAATTTACTGAGAAGAAATAAAACTGTTACATAAAATATATACCCACATATGTACCTAAATGTGTATTTTAATCTCAATGAAAAATAAATTCTGCACTATGTATATTATACAATTTTCCAAATGGTGACAAGTGCTAAGTTATACAAGTTTTAAACAAACAGTAAACTTCTTCATAGATGACATTGATAAATGCCCAGGACAATTTTCCCAAATGAAGACAGTCCTTGGCCTAGTGAACTATCCAAATATTCAAAAGATGCAAAAGAAAACTTTTCATTTGTGAATGAACACAACCAGCTAAAATTCAATTAAGAATTTCTCAATTATGTTTTGACTCTATTCAGGGTTTTAATTACTGTAATTATCTTTATACAATACAAGGTTTCCAATTAAAAATATACTGCAGAGATTTCCAGTTTTTATGTGTTTTGTGGGCATGGTGTAGAAATGTGTGCACACATGTGAGTGTACAAAGGCCAGAGGTCAACTTTGGATGTCTTTCTTCTGTTGCTCTTCACCTTATTTTTTGAGACAGACTCCCTTACTGAGCCTAGAGCTGGTTATTCAGCTAGACTGGCTGGCCAAAGAGCTCCAGGGATCCACCTTTCTCTATCCAACAGTATTAGGGTTAAAGGCATGCATTGCCACACCCAGCTTTTTGTTCTTTTTATGTGGGTGCTGGGTATCTAAACTCAGGTCCTCCCCAGGCTTGCACAGCAAGCATTCTACCCACTGAGCCATCTCCTCAACCAAGATTTCCAGTATTCTTTTTCATTTCTTAAATTACATTTCCTTGGTATAGTTTTTTGTTTGGGGATTTTTGTTGTTGTTGTTGTTGTTGTTGTTGGGTTGAAGTGGGCACACAAGTCTCAGGAAAACTTGTAGGACTCAGTTCTCTCATTCCATCATATGAGTGAGTCCCTGGAATCTAATTTGGGTTGTCAGACTTGGCACCTTTATCTGCTGAGCCATCTAACTAGCTCAGATTTCCAGTGGTTTTAATTAAGGTTTTCTTTAGCATTTCTGTATTTATAGGAAAATCATCTCAAGAATTGAGAACAAATATTACTCTTCTTCTAAGACTAATAAATGTATTTTAAAATATATTTTGACTACAGTGTGTTTCAATAAAATTCTCAAATTATCAATCAGAATGGCAAAATGTTGTACAGGTGAGCATTTAAAGTTGTCAGTAATTCACATGAGGTTGTCCCTGATGACCGAGATAATCAGAATTATCAATAGAAAAAAAAAAAAAAAACAACTTTCCTTTGAATTTTATCTAAGAAAACATGAGATGCCAAGTTTTATATGAAAAGCAGAATGTAGAAGAGACTAACAGTAAATATGATTTGTAAACCAACAAATGTCTTATCTGTAAAAAAAAATTCATGTTAATAAGAACAAACTTCAGCTACCCAGAATGTAACTCTGTGAAGATGATGGACCCACACACGACTTAACAGTCTCAGCAGCACAGCCAGACAGGTCTACAAGTCCATGGATGTGCTATCAATCTCCTTTCTCCACTAATAGCTAACACACATCTTTCTGTCAATAAAAACTTAACTGTACAACTTTTTTTTTTCTTTCTTTTTTTTCTTTTGGTCTTTTTGAGACAGGGTCTCCCTGTAGCCCCAGCTGTCCTGGAACTCTCTAGACCAGGCTGGCCTTGAACTCAAAGAGATCCGCCTGCCTCTGCCTCCCAAGTGCTGGGATTAAAGGCATTAGCTACCACACCCGGCTGACTTTATTTTTACATAATATTCTACTATGCATGTACTATGGTTTATCTACCTAACCAACCTCACATTGAATGGCACATACGTGCCCCACATACATGTAGTGCTATGTTGAATTCCTGGTCCATCTGACACTGGGAAAATACCTAAATTTGTGTTCCTTTACTAGTGAAGTTGAACTATTTTTTTCTAAAAAAATCTTATTCTATATATACTCAATTCAGTATGTAAACAGGAAGATAATCTTTGCTTCAGGGAGTGACTTCTTCCCCCAGTTTCTACATTTTCCTCAACATTGTTCAAAGTCCTTAATTGCAGATTTTTTTTTAACGTGTGTGTGCGTGTGTGTGTGTTTGCACATGCTACCACAGCACTCATGTGGAATCAGAGAACAAAATTTACAGGAATTTGTTCTCTCCTTCTATCAAGTTGGTCCAGGCTTTCAGGTTTGGCAGCCAAGTGCCTTTACCCAGTAAGCCATCTTGCTAGCCCCACTTTTATTTTATTTACTTACTTTATATTTATTTGTTTTTATTTTTGAGATCTCCCTGTAACCCCTGCTGTCCTGGAACTCAGAGAGATCCACTTGCCTCTGCCACCTGAGTGCTGGGATTAAAGGCATGCACATACTATGCCCAGCTGGAAGTTTCTTTTTCAACAGACAGAGATTATTACACAGTTCTACAACTGGTCATATACGGAGAGTGTCTGTGACTTTTCCAAGACTAAGTGGCACATCTACGACAAAACCTCTACACCTAAGGCTTACAGAACATAGAACAAGGAGTAAAGAGAACACTGATTTATCTCTCAAGTCTCATCAATACAACAAAGGTCTAGGAACACTGAAGGTCACAAATGGCCAAAATGTAGAGAATAAGCATCAAATGGACAGCAGACCCCAATCTTAGTAGAATTATTGATAGCTGATTACTGCTGGGTGAGGACAAGCTGATCTTCTTAAAAGGAGGGACTCTAGATAGGCTGACTGGACCCCAGTGGATGGATGAACCTGCACTGAGGGACACCTGAGGACACTAGGTGACCTAACAGGCCTTAACACAAATGACAGGATGTATGAATTCCAGTGGTGGGGGGGTGTCATGGGATGGAGCCAATGAGAAAGGGGGTATAAAGTTAAGATGTTCTGTATGAAACACACATACAGAATTCAATTAAAAAGAATAAATTCTTTAAAAAAAGATATCCCAGGGCTAGAGAGACAGCTCAGCTGTTAAGAGCACTGAATGCTCTTACAGAGGACCCAGGTTCAATTCCCAACACCCATATGGCGGCTACGAACCGTCCTTAACTCCAGTTACAGGGGAATACGAAACCCTCTTCTGACCTCCGCAGCATTGCACGACACGGGTGCACTCACGTATATACAGGCAATACTCATATACATAAAATAAAATAAAAATAATAAAATATTTTTTTAAAAAGACATCCCTAAAGAATTTTAAATTCATTCATGACTTGGATTTTTCCAATATTTTTTTTATTCACTCGAAACATTAATTTGGATGACAGGAAATAAAGATGGAATTTCATTTTAATTTAAATAGCTAATCTTTTATTGAAGGATATTAATACTCTGCAGCATGTTACTCTGTAATCACTTTTTCTCCTTAAGAGAACACTGTTTGCTATCGACCCTATTTCCATACTTAGACAAGGGTATTCCTGGACTCTCTGCTGTATTCCATTAACCTGCCTGCTCTTATACATTCTGACAAATTCTCAGCACTCTTATCTAACCAAATTTTCATGGCTATTCATTCATATTTACTTTTTCAAGATTTATAATCACTGTGAAAAAATTTTAAAGGTTCTGTTAGAACTTTTCATATAACGTTCTAAAGAACTTTTCTATTTTAGGCTAAATGTAAAAACCAAAGAAGTGACTTTAAAATATAAAGTCTTTCTAGCGAGAACAAACTACCTTTTTCAATGTACGTAATTGCTATTACTACTTTTTCCTCTCAGGGCTTATTTTTCCACCATGCAGTTTCTACAAATTTTTCAGTAAGCTTAGTCTCAGATTATTTTAAGGTAGTATAACTCTCACTATAAATTCATTCACATTAGGTCTACTTCTTAAAGATAGTATACAAGGAGTTTATAGCTTTCTGATACATCCTACAAGTCACCAAAGAACTATCAAAAACTACCCAGGCAAATCCTGGTGTGGTGATACATTCCTATATCCCCACCACTGAGGAGGTAGAGGCAGGAAGATTAGGAGTTAAAGACCAACTTTGGCTAGATACCAAGTTGAAGGCCAGCCTGTGCTACATGAGACCCTGAAGGTAAAGTGCACAGAAGTTAAAAATCAATTCATATGCTCAGAACTAGAATCTTTCTCATTAAAAGTTAATTATTTAGAAAAATACACATTTTTGTTTCAATTTTTTTCATATTTCATTGAAAACATTTTATTAGCCATCTGGATAGAATGTATTCACCAGGAAGGATAATCCCATCCTTTTGGAAGGAACATATGGCCTCCTCTTTGCTGATTCTGTTTGCCAATGCAGCCTATCCTGTACTTTTGTCTGACAACTGAAATTTGCCTATCCAG